GGCCTTGGAAACTGGCAATCAGGCCTCGCTCGAATTTCCTCCAGCCTCGGGCTCTCTGCAGGCCAGTTCTCTGAGTTAAAATGATAACAACAAAACTAATAAAATAACAACTCCCAAGTACTGACTGTTCAGTATGGGCGGTCACTGTGCTAGGGGTCTACAGGCATCATCTCCTTTAAGGTTAACTCCACTTTGCCCTTGAGGCACAGAGGGATGTTAAGGGTCCTCCTAGCTATACCTCAGCCAAGAAGCAGTAGATCTGGCATTTTAATCCCGTCTATCAGCTCCGAAACCCCCGCGCTCAGCCTCGAGTTCGGATTGCCAGCGCAGAGCCAGGTCCTGAGAACAGCTCAGCGCCGTTCATCTCCCGCGGCCGAGGGTTCAGTGAACGCGGCAAGGGGTGGCGGGACCAGGCTGTAGAGGCAGAGTGCCCTTGAGCCCAACCATAGACCACGTGGTGATGCGGAAGGTAGGCAGCGCCTGCGGCGTGGCGAAAGGCGAGCTAGCTGGCATTCGCGGCGAGGAACTGGATGGGGCAGCGGGAGCCAATTTGAAGCACTCCCTTTTTTGGAGGGGTATTTGCAGAAAAAAAGAAAGTCACCCTCGTCAAGAAAGAGAAGAAAAAAAACCCCTCCCTTTCCTGCTTTATTGTTCAGGTTACCTTGCTTGACTTGCTAAGGGCAGGCTTTGCATTGGGTGGGTCTGAGCAGCAGGGACCGGAAGGGGTGCAGGTCAGAGGGATTTTGGGTAGAGGGAGAGGGGTGCGTCCGTGCCGCCCCGCGCGCTGCACCCCGCCCCTTCAGACCTGATCTGCTGCATCAACCACGGCCCCCGCTGCTTTGTAGTTTACAAGAGGGACTCCAAACTGCACTTCGTAATTTGGTGTCGGTTTACAAGCAAAAAGCACTTGTTTCCTCACTGAAAGGGTCCTGAGTCATGGACCGACCCCTTTTAAGAGAGGGACCTGGAGAGAGGAGCTGGATTCCCTGCTCCTTCACCTTTCAGTCCAGCCTATGAGACATGCGGTGGCTGGGCCCTCCTGGAACTGCACGCGCCACCGTCTCTGGGATAAATGAACGTTTATAGAAATCCTATGTGAAGGCTCTCTAACCTCATTATTACTGAGTCTTTACAATGACCGGAGCAAGAAGACCCCTCTTATCATTCTCCGCTTGTGGCAGCTGAGGTGCAGAAAGATAACTGACCAAGGTCACGTAGTCAGTGGAACAACCAGCCTCGATCTCTGGCTCGCTGACTCCTATTGCCTCTAAATATTTCAGTTTGTGCAAGTTTACATTACTTTTTAATTTTCTCAGAAAATGCTGATAATTTTGCATTTAATGTCGGCGTTCCTCAGACTTCCTGAAGCTCATCTCACGATAAAAACCTCCCTCCCTCCACCTCCTCTCCCACACCACCTCACCTCTCAGCAACTAATGGGGTCTTGAACCATGCGAACCCAATCTCTCCCGGAAGCTAACAGACGAAGCTTTCTCCAGGTCTGGCGGGATGCTGCCTGGGGGAAGCTGCGCTGCTCTGATCCACGTTTTGAGGGCCTTGCTTTTTTCCTGTGCTCCCAGGAGCCCGATCCGCTGTCCTTGGGTGCCCCACGCCCATCTCCCGTCTTGGCTTCAGCGGGTGTGGTGTATTGTACACAAATCCCACTTGTTTCCTCATATAGCAGCTTTTACAACTCAAACTAGTTCAAGGGTTGCCCGTCTGATTTATTTTCTGTTTAGTAAACAGCCCTTTACCCTCCTATTGCCTCTAGGTCCTCTTTCTCCCCAGTCTGGTTACCCAAAACTAACAAATCTAGTTTCTTAATTTTGTTTCTTAATATTCATAATAACTAGTGAAGGGCTAATTATTTCATGTCCTCTCCCTATCCTCCAAGCAATAAATAAAATAAAAGCCCAGCCTGCCAATGCGCGAGGGAACACACAGCAGGCGCAGGGGTCGGGGGTGTTGCAGATTGCATGCACGTCGTGGAGCTTGTTTGCAAAGGCAGAAATGTTGTTAGCAGGCGGAGACACAGAAAAAACCAGAATGAGTTGATAAAAACGCGCGTGTCCTGTTACAGGAGGTCTGCTCATAACGCTAGGCACTAAAATTAGAAAGGGTTCTGGGGAACAAAACAAACGCGAACCCATTATGAGTTTTTCTGGCTAGGAGCGAAGGGCTCTGAGAAGTTTCTGAGACCGACATAGCCGAAGGTGGTCACCAGTCCATTGCCTTTCCTGAGACCACTGCGTAACCCGGCACTCTTCTTTGAACCTCAGTTTCATCGTTGGAAAACGGGAGAAATAATTCTGTTGCAGTTAAGAATCCAAACCCTCTAACGTAGGCAAGCGAACAAGTGCACTCTGATGAGTATAAACAGCTACGCGAAAGATAAAACTCGCTGTTATTGTTAGGTGATGCCAGGCGAGAGGCACGAATGGCTTGACTCTGTCCCATGTCAGAGCACACAGCTCCCAAGTTATCCTCCGAGACTCCCAGAGCGACAGAGCTGCCCACAGGAATAAGCAGGACCTTCTCTACTTCCTTCTCGGGGCATCACAAAGGGCTCTGGGGAGAAGCACCGGCACAGAGGGTATTATCAGTGTCTGGTCACTAGGAAAGAACTTTCCAACCTCGTCAAATGTTCAAGAATACCTGCGTGTTCAGCAGATCGCGTTACTTTCACCGCAATTCCTAAGATGCTTTGTTTCAACCTCTTGGAGCTTGGTTAATTTCTTTCCGATGGGCTGTGAGAAAAAGTAGATCCAGTTCAGCAATTTCCTTCCTTTAACAAATATTTTTTGCGGACCTACTATGTGCTCAGTGCAGTGGCACTCAATTTCCTAATGTCTCCTATACCGATCCTGAGAGCTATTGTTTGTTTAAAGGTGTAATTAGAAAAGCGACTAAATGATCTTAAATTTAGTTCAAGAAATTGAATGCAGCATTGAATTAGGGGACTAATTCCTTTCAACATGTTGTAAATTTAACTTATCTAACATTCATAAAAGGATTTTTGAAGGAGTCAGTAGAAAGTCTTTTTTTAAAAAAATACATTCACTCACCTTTTCATTAAAAAGCTTCGTTTAAAAACATGCTTAGAATGAATATATTGTACCTAAGTCTCTTAATGGTATGTATGTTCATTCTCCCCCAAATCAACTTTAATAGTAATTGACCTAGCAGAAAAATGTGACATAGGTGATTTTGCGACTTGCCTGCCTCACGGGCAAGGTGAAGGTTAACGAGGAGCTACTTTGCACTTGGAAGATGAGAGGCGCTAAGCACAAGAATATCTACAGGTCATTTGTCCACTAACCCGGCTCTGCAGCTTAAGGTAACTACTAACTTACTCTTGCAGGAGAAAGTGGGATGTCGCTGTGTACCCGATTAAAGAGGCCTCATTTTTGTGTCCAACTCTGGGTTAATGTCTGAGTCGCAGAAATACCGCTGATGCTGATAACGCAGAGACCAACAGTAGCCCTTTTCTCTCTGCCTTGTCGCCTATTACCTTCTCTTGTAGACAACGAGATTCATTAAGAGGGTATGTCTGCTTGTTTCCTAGTCCGCAAGATAAATGGAGACTTCACCTCTGCAGGCTCTGTCAAGCTTCGGGTTTAACATCGGGACAGGCTACCCGGCTGCACCGAAAGCGGCACTGGAGTATTCTGGCGGAGCGCGGAGGGGAGGAGCGTGGCGGCCGTGAGGAGAGGGAGAGCGCCGGCACGCTTCGGCCAATCAGCGTGCACACCGCCTAACAACTGGCCAATCAACGGGCGCGAAGCTCGGGGGCCCGAGCGGATATTACCAGGAACGGGAGCTGTGGAAGGAGACTGCAGTGAGGGGCGCTGCACGCAACTGCGTGCGCCCTCCGGCCCCGAGAGAGCCCGAGGGTTTGAGCCAGGCCAGGGCAGCCGGATACTTCCCGCCCAGCTTGGGACGGAGGAAGCCGAAAGTAGCTTCAGAGAGGTGAAACGCCCGAGGCTGCAGAGGACCGATCAGAACTTTGCACAGACCGGGATGTGTGGGGCGAGGCCGTAAGGACTTCACTCACCTTCTCCAACCCCCTTATTCCCTACTCCCCATCCAGTGGGCTCCCGGCCTCCAGTTGTCAGCCCACGATTTCGTGGCAGGGTGTGGCGACCCCGATTTCTGTTTGCAAGCACAGCCAGCAGTCCAAGAGCCAAGTCCCAAGGCTGGATATCTTTTGCCTGGGCTGCTAGCCCGGGTCTCAGAGTCTTGGTGAGTGCTGTGATGTTGCTGGGGTGTCAGGGAGGGCAAAGGGCGCGAATCACCTTTCCTTATCTTTTCTATTTTACTTGGAAATTTTGCCTTAAAGTGCAGACCATGCCAGATGAACATAGAGCCCCCGAGGCTCAGCACGGCTCAGCCTTGAGCGGCCCAAGCACTGTCGATGCTGGAAGGGCATCTGCAGCTCTGTGCCCAGTGTCCCTGTGGGGCTGTAATGACAGCAGAGCACTTTGGTTATTAGTTAGTTATTTGCCGGGGTGAGGAGAGGGATGAAAGGACCTCGCCCAGCCCATGGAGGGGTCCTCGTGGCGGTGTAGGTGGATGAGAGACAATTGGGAGGCGTAGGGTGGTGCCTCTGTATGTTCAATGGGCCCCTTGTGATCAAAAGAAAAATAATTCTTCCATGGATATTCTAATTTTCATCGTGGCCATACTAGTTGGGTATGGGGAAGCCTAGCAAGCAGCCTAGGCCGGCCTAGTTGGACACAGTACTTATGTTTGTGTGATCGGTACATTACCCAGGGATTGTCCAGGAAGAGGGTGTACAGCTAGAGAGGGCTGCGTTTAAAGCCCAGGTGCTCACAGGGCGCTTAGAATTACTAAAAACCTTGTCGGTTTTGTTCTAAACATACAAGATAGGCCTGGATGTGAGGGACGGGTGGAGAACAGGGCTCCTGAAGCGTCCAGAGGCGGGCAGACCGGTAGGTCTAGGCCCAGGGTCTGGGGACGGTGTCTCACAGCGGCCGGTGGGTTTTGGGGTCTTTCCGTGTCTCACAGAGTGCAGGCGACGGTGTGGGCCCAAGCGAGGCGCTACGCGCCATGACCGACCGTCAGGCGGGCCCGGCGGCGGGGGACTGGGAGATCGACGTGGAGAGCCTGGAGTTGGAGGAGGAGGGCCGCGGGGCGCCGCCGCCAACGCCGCCCGGGCCCAGCCCGCCTCCGGCCGACGGGGACGGCGAGGACGACGAGGACGAGGACGAAGACGACGACGACGCGGAGGACGAGGGCGACGGCGAGGAGGCGGGCGCGTCCCCAGGGGTGTCGGGCCGGCTAGAGCAGCAGGGTGGGCTGCCGCCGAGGCCGCCTCAGGCGCTGCAGGTCTCTCAGGCCCTCGCCGGGCAAGCGGAGCGCGGCGTGAACGCAGGCGGCGGCGCGGAGCCGCGCAAACTGAGCCGCACGCCCAAGTGCGCGCGGTGCCGCAACCACGGCGTGGTGTCCTGCCTCAAGGGCCACAAGCGCTTCTGTCGCTGGCGGGACTGCCAGTGCGCCAACTGCCTGCTGGTGGTGGAGCGGCAGCGCGTTATGGCCGCCCAGGTGGCGCTCCGGAGGCAGCAGGCCACCGAGGTGCGTACCCGCCGGGTTCGGGGACGCGCCTCACCAAGGCGACCGGGGCCGTTGTGGGGGTCCGGGAGCCGGAGGGGACGTGGCTGCTCCCATCACCCATGGGTCTAGGGCCTCGGGAGCACCTGGCACTTTAAGTGTGGTGAGAACACTTCTCTCCCTATGCTGGTCGGGAGGGAGGATGTCCTGGACATCGCTGGGGAACTTCGTAAAAAAGATTTTGTGTTAAAAAGCGGTCAGAGGGAGCTTGAAAGTGTTTAGGCACGTTCGGGACGCTATGGGAAAGGCACTTTCTTTTTTACATTTTAAATTTCATTTTTGTGGTGTTGAGAGGCAGGGGATGAGAGTGGTTGATGCGGTGCATAGCGATGCTTAGTGCTGTACTCGTGCCGATCGCGGAAAAGAAGCACGCACGGCACCGTGTGCTTCCGCCGGCGTCCCGGGCCATTTAAGATTGGCGTTACGTGCTGCCGGTTTTACAGATGAGACCAGAAGTGGAGTGGGAAGTTAGGTACCTTGCAGCCCAAGGTGGTGCAGCCAGAGCTTCTGGCCCCGATAACTACCTAATAGCCGGTAGAGGAGTCTCTGCCATCTCCAACCGTGGAGCCCCAGGTATGAGGAGAGCCAGGGTTCTAAGAGAGAGGCGCTTCTTGAACCTTGGACTCGATGTTTCTTGTGTTCCTGCATCTGGAGAGCTCCGAGCTAGGGAGGCTGTGTGCCGCCCCTTCCCACACTCAAGGTGGGGGAGGATTTTTAATTGTACTTTTTAGAGAGGCGGGGCTGGGGAGTGGATCACCGCATACACCGAAGGCAGTGACCCTGATGGACAGCTTCCCAAGGGCCCAGGAGAGCGCGCTGGACACCCGAGGTGGCCCCGGTCCGGACTTGGCCGCCTCCCGCGTATTTCACCTCGGCCCAGAGTCTGCTGGGCCTGACGCAGACGTAGAAGGGCCCAGAATCCCAACCACCAGGCGGGAGTCTCCTTGTCCTGCGTCCCTGGCGATCTCCGAGGGTTTTGCATTTGCCTTCATACGCCTCAGTCACCCAATGAACAACCAGAGTTTTCGGCCAGACCAGGGAGAGTCTGATAGGGACCCTGGTATCTCTCCTTCAAGTCTCTGTACAAATCCCACCCGTCCTACTGTGGGGAGAAACCAGCCTCACGGTGCTGTGCAATGGCAGGCCCTGGGCATCTACAGCCCTACCTTTGGGCACCGAGGACCCAGCTCTCGGCAGTAGCTGTCTTCCAGGGAGAGCTTCGCACCTTGTTAACTGTGGACTTCACCTTCCTTAGGGATATCCCCCCATTTGGGGTGAGTCTGGGTGACTCTAGGAAAGCGGCCCTAGGGAAAGGAGGGGCCCTGCTCACTATTGGATGGTTTTAGACAGAGCCAGCTTGTTGCCCTGATATTAAGGAGTACTAATATTAATTCATTTGCAATCATTTTCACGTGGAATGGGAAAATACATTTAGACAGGGGAGAGTTGCTGACACCCTTTGCTTCTCACTTCTTTCCCACGTTTTCTTTCAGAGAATTATTGAATATGTTTCTGTGTTTACAGGACAAGAAGGGGCTTTCCGGGAAGCAGAATAATTTCGAGCGCAAAGCCGTGTATCAGAGGCAAGTCAGGGCACCCAGTTTGCTGGCCAAAAGTATTTTAGAAGGTAAAGCAATGCAGAATTATCCCTTTAGGCTTTAAAACCAAGTTCTGAGTGATTCTTATCGTTCTGGCACATGGCATTTTTATTAACCTGTGAAGGAGCAACCTGAGGGGAAGGTACTTTTTATTAGAAAGTTTTGCTGTAGGAAGGAAATCAGGATGCACGGAAAATAAATCTCACATAACTCCTGAGGTTTTTGTTACTGATAATTTTGTTGTCTGCTTAATAGTTAATGGGTTAACATGGAGTGCGTATGAAATTTGTCCTAGTGTGAGGGGTGTACAAAGATATAGTGCCAAGTGATCCCGGAACAGATGTCCTGGAAAGAAATCAATTAAAAAAAATTCCTTATTTGTAGTTGGAGCTAAATAGAGTAAATCAAGTGAGATGTTTAGCAGCTACCCACACCAACAAAGACCTCTAGTCTGGATGATTCAACCTCTAATCCCACTCTTTTTCATTTTACCATTTTCCTCCCCAGATTATCTATAATTGTAGTTATTCCATATTTCATTTTACCATTTTGACAGTTGAGATTGAAGAATCAAATAAGAGACGTGGAGGTTGAATTTGAAGTGTGAAGTCTCTAACTCTTCATGTTCTTACTTTCTCTAAAGCCTGGAGATACATTAATTTTTCTTAAAATTTTAATGATTTTCAAAGCATCTCTGTCCAGGTATGGAATATGTTTATTGACCTGATAAATAATATATTAACTACCTTTCACTGTTTAAAGAAACTAAAAGTTTATATTTGATCTAATTACTGCTGCTTCATATGATTCAGGTTGAAAAGCAGATTTAAAAAACGTTGACATTGGAATTCTGTTTTTTCTTATGTGGTTTATGAATTGAGTTGGTTCTGGACAGGTTTTAAAGTTTGTGTCTTACCCTGTGCTGTGTACTTCTGGCCTTAGAATGGGTTCTTACGCATTAAAAGTGAATTTGATTACAAATTGGGTAAACAGATTTATAACTATAGGGACCACACTGATAAATTAAAAACATGCCAAAGCAATTTGATAAAAGAGAGAACTAAATGGAATAGTAAATTCAAGTAAATAACTTCCTGGCAAAAACTTACCATAGAAAAAGAAACATTAATTTTCAAATTTTATTTTAATTGCAAATGAGCATGATGGGTTTGTCATTATGTAAATACAAACATTATAATGGATCCTTCAAACAAATTTGATAGTGATGAGTGCTTGGGGATGATGAAAGTATTTTATGCCGCCAGGAATTCTATTTATGTTGTTATACTGATCTCTTTTTTGACTTCATAAAGTGTGGGATGACTTAATCTGTGTTCTAATGATTGCTTGTTCAACTATTTGGGTATATGGCCAACATGATTAGTACTTGAGTAAAATGTTTTAGAGCCGTTATTTTCAATATAGCAAGGGATCTCGGTACATTGCTGCCCTTTCTGTTTGTTTGTTTGTACTGGTAGTCAGGGGTAGGGGCTTACTTAGTTCAGTGTTCACTGCAAAATCTGTTTGACTAGTCAACAGCTCTTTTCAATTTTCTATATTTCTGTTTCCTTAAGTCTTTTCTGTTTTCTCCTCACTAATCTGCTTTAACTTTCTCTTTTTTCCTAGTTCTCCTTGGATTATTCTCCAACTGTAACAATGTGTACATAATGAGCCATCTTTAGAAAATAAAAGTGACATCAGCTCTAGGTATAGAAATCTTTTTTAATAATGGAAAAAGATGACACAGATAGTAATAAACCATTGATTGAAGTAAGATCAGGAGCCTTGTGTAGGAGCCTGGGAAGAATTAAAATTTCACCTGTTAAAGTATGCTTGTCAAAGTAAATAAACAAACCTATAACTGCAAAAACAATAATAATAAAAAGTTACAATACGGATATTCTTTCCCCCAAAGGGAACAATTTAAAATTGAACCAATATTTTTGCTTTCTGTATACAAATGTTAGTGATATAGAACTGTAAGTACTTGTTCTGCCAATTTGCAGTGTTTCTGTTGCCTCTAGATTTCCAGATTTTTCTTCCTTAGATATTAATCTCTTTCATGTGCAATGCTTGCTTATTTTAGGCTACCGTCCTATTCCAGCAGAGACTTATGTGGGAGGGAGTTTACCTCTACCTCCCCCAGTAAGTGACCGGATGAGAAAAAGGCGGGCCTTTGCTGATAAAGAGTTGGAGAACATTATGCTGGAGAGAGAATATAAAGAGAGGGAGATGTTGGAAGCTTCTCAAGCTGCTGCCTTGTTCCTGCCCAACCACATGGTACATGGACCTGAATACAACTCCTACAAAAGTACCTATAGCCCCAGCCCAGTGGAACCACCAAGCAAAGACTTCTGTAATTTTTTGCCCACCTGCCTTGATCTAACCATGCAGTATTCAGGGTCTGGGAATATGGAACTAATTTCTTCCAATGTCAGTGTGGCCACAACTTACAGACAGTATCCCTTGTCCTCAAGATTTTTAGTTTGGCCTAAGTGCGGCCCCATTAGTGACACTCTCCTCTACCAGCAATGCCTGCTAAATGCCACCACCTCAGTTCAATCCCTGAAACCTGGGGCCAGCTGGGACTTGAAGGGAGTACAAGTCCAAGATGGGCTCGGTGCAGAGCATGACATGTTGCCACCAAAATTGGAAGGCTCTCTGGTGCTGCCTCACACTCCTGAGGTTCAGACCTCAAGAAGTGACCTTCAGGGTCACCAGGCTGTCCCTGAGAGGTCTGCATTCTCCCCACCCCGACGGAATTTCTCTTCGATTGTTGACACGGACTCCCTGGCAGCTCAAGGGCACGTCTTAACCAAGATCAGCAAAGAAAGCACCAGGCACCCTCTGCCACTTAAACATAATCCATTCCACTCATTATTCCAGCAAACTCTTAATGACAAATCGAGTCCTGAGTTGAAAACACCATTTGTCAAAGAGGCCTTTGAAGAGGCCCCTAAGAAACACAGAGAGTGTTTAGTCAAGGAGAACCAGAAGTACACATTTACAATAGATAGATGCGCAAAAGACCTTTTCGTAGCCAAACAAGTTGGAACAAAACTCTCGGTGAATGAACCGCTGTCATTTTCTGTTGAGTCTATTCTCAAGAGGCCTTCGTCTGCCATCACTCATGTCTCTCAGTGAAAGGCTGCTTGTATGGAAAGCTGGATTTTCTGCAGTCTCAGAGGGTTCTTACCAGTTGCTAATTTTTTTAAAAAGAAGTTAAAGATGTTTGTATAAAGAAATTTCTAATGTTAATGATGACGATTTAAAAAATTCTATATATTCATATGCATGCACTTATCACCACATAAATATATTTAAACTAAAGATGGAAATTGCTCATGCATAAATTGTAAAGTTCCGTGCTTTACCCATTATTTCAAAAAGCAATAAAATTGACACTGTCTTCTAAAAGACTCAGTATTTGCTGGAGTAAATAGTTGTCTTTGTCTAGGTGAAAAAGCTAGTGTCCATGAAATGTGATCTTTATTTTTCTATGATTCTGTGTATTTTCAAGTGCTGTCAATGGTTGTTGGGGCCACAGGAGAAACCCTTATAATGCCTTATTTTTTGCATTTGGAGGGCATATAAATACAGCTATTCAAGACTGAAGCAAAAATAGCTTTATGGAGAAATAGAGAAGGTTTGCATGTTTATAGAATCATAATTTTATGTGATTGGACAAAATTTAATTGAAGAGAAATCAAGTTTAATGTATTGTTTATATGATGACAGGGGTTCTTGGATTGTATCTATTAACTCTGGATTCCAGTGTCCTTCCCTGATGGGGATGTGTATATGGGGCCTCAAGCTTCCTTTTTCAATTAAACCTTCATTCTATGATTTTTGGGTTGCTAGGGGCCACAGAGCAGGTTCCTTTGTAAGGTACAGTCAATTTAAACCATGGTGGTGCATGGTTGAACCCTCTCTCAGATCTTGTGTTACTTCTCTGTTTCCTAAGGACCAGTGACAGCAGGCATTTAGAGGCAGGTCCAGGACTCTCAGCTGGTCCCTGAGTATCAGCGTTATGTGTCTCATATTTTCACTGGTGTCAAAGGTTTTCAGTGTAGGTTTTTTCTGAGATAAAAGCATTTACCATTCAAATTGCTTCAGCTGCCAGCTGAAGCCAGCAGATGTTTATCATACCATGAGGGCAGCTTCTTGATTCTTAAACTTTTCCCCTCTGTATTTTAGGTTCATTATTACCCTCTTGTTTTGCCCAACAAATGTTAACTGTTCTTGTATATATGATTGATAAAGTAAGAGTAGGACATTTATGAGAGTATTAAATTTATCTCTGAAGACCTCATCTGTGGATCCCAAGTCAAGTTCTAAGATGTTATAGTCATTTCAACATAGAAAATCCAAGAGCCAAATATTTCACCTTTCATTTTGCTGTACAGCAAGTTTACTTTCAACTCTGCTCGTGTTTGGGTAACAAGAACATTAAGTGGGCGTGTGGAATGTGCCAAGAAATGTGGCAGTTTAAAGAGTTTCTTGCTCTGGAAAACATTTAAAATTATTTTAAAATGATTTTGCTACTGATGAGCTCATGTAAACCTCCAAGAGTTCTCTGAATTGTTCCTTAAAATTAGTATCAGTTTCAAAAACAACAAGCCAAACCTTAGACTGATTTTCAGTTTGTACTTGTAAAATAATACTTGGTTTTGTTGAGTGAAATTTACTTATTTTTATTATTGCAAAAGCCAGAGCAAATGGAAGTTTGCCAGAGGAAAAGAAAATGAAAGCAGGCAGAGATCCCAATAACTGTTGAAGATTATCATTAAGTGGAAAATGTTTTCCAGCCATGAATGCCCCGGTGTCAGAGACAGAATCTCACAGCAGTTGCCCCTTGCACCCCAGTCATCTTTGCTTTATCTGTCCAGTTATTAATTTTTATCTTTCTATCAGGAATTTCTTTTTTGTGTCAAGTGTTTATGGTAAATTTAGCATTGAAATCTAACCGATGAGAGGTAATGGGAGAAAACAATAAATCCACATTAAAAAATCTCAAGAAGGCCTTCTAAATCCACAGATGGATTTTCTCTCTTTATTACTCTATTTTAGTATTTTGAATATGTATATTTGTCAATTTTGTCCTTTTTGTATTTACTGAATGTTTCGGGATGTCTTTTCTGCTGTATCATTTTAATCTCATTAAGTTAGCTGTGGGTAGTAGTGGTTTTCCTCACATTGCAGTGCCCAGAATTTTATTGTTCTTCAACATTTGTGGTGAATTTGTTATTTTACCACACATTAATTCTGCTATAATGGTGAGTTCTTTTTGGAACTTCAAACCTACCAGATCTACCATCATCCCCTTTACGAGAGCTTTGTACTTGGCTCTTCGCTTCTTTTAACCATTTCACGTCCATAAAAGCTACTATTTGACTATATAGAGTCTTCAAAGAACATTGTCATTAACATATTAAATCAAACTTATAGTTCAGTTTAAGCATTTTCTGTGTTTAAGGCAATAAATGGATGTGGCTTTAATCATTTTTAAGAACAGAAAGAATACTGTAAAACATGGATCTTTTCCTCAATTTAACTCATAATACAATAATGCAGCTTTAATAACATTTTCCTTCTATCTCAACTGATTAAGCACTTATTTTTTGCTCAATTTGCAGCTCTGAATACTTAATAGTAATTTATAGTTAAGAATAGTCAATTTAAAAAGTTCCCTTTCTTCTTTTTCCACTCTCTCTCTCTCTCTCTTTTTGGAAACTAGAAGTTCTTTTAATTTGGTTAAAAATATATTTTTAATTGTGGTAAAATATAAATAACAAAATTTATCATCTTAACCATTTTTAAATGTACAGTTCAGAAGCATTAACTGCATCCACACTGCTGTGCTTCTATCACAACCATTCACCTAAAGAACGCTTTTCATCTTGCAGAACCGAAACTCTGTACTCATTAAACAATAACTCCCTCCTCCCTCCAGCCCCTGGCAATCATCATTCTACTTCTGTGGATCCCAAGTCAAGTTCTAAATTTGACCACTCCAGATACCTCATATAAGTGGAATCATACTATATTTGTCCTTTTGAGAGTCTTATTTCACTTAGAATAAACAATTCAAGGTTCACTCATATTGTAGCATATGTTAGAATTTTCTTCCTTTTAAAAACTGAATAATCTTCCATTACATGCATATACCACATTTTATTTATCCATTTATTGGATGATGGACACATGAGTTGCCTCCACCATTTGGCTTTTGTGAATAATGCTGCCGCGAACATACGTGTACAAATATTTCTTCAACTAGTCCTCACTTCTTGATTTCACTTTCTTCCCATCTTTAAACTTAGTTCTCTCAAGTATACATCCCTCCTACACTATCCCCCTCTCCCTCGGCATATGGATCCTCAGCACTCCTCACCAAGGCAACAACCACTCTGCCCAGAGAGGTTCCAATATTGTGCACCTTTTAATGTGAATTTTTTGTGAGCATCTTATCACATCATCTGCTTTTAAAATATGTAATATATATGTATATTTTATTTTTTTAAATTATTTTTTATTTTTCAATTATAGTTGACATTTAATATTCTATTAGTTTCAGGTATACAGCATAGTGGTTAGCCATTTATATAACTTATGAAGTGATCCTCTTGATAAGTCTAGTACCCACCTGACACCATACGTCGTTATTACAACATTATAAAGACTCAGTAATAATGAGGTTAGAGAGCCTTCACATAGGATTTCTATAAACGTTCATTTATCCCAGAGACGGTGGCGCGTGCAGTTCCAGGAGGGCCCAGCCACCGCATGTCTCATAGGCTGGATTGAAAGGTGAGGGAGCAGGGAATCCAGCTCCTCTCTCCAGGTCCCTCTCTTAAAAGGGGTCTGTCCGTGACTCAGGACCTGTTCAGTGAGGAAACAAATGCTTTTTGCATGTAAACCGACACCAAATTATGAAGAATCGAAGGACAGATGAAGAGTGCAGTTTGGAGTCCCTCTTGTAAACTACAAAGCAGTTCTATTTTTAATTTTTTGAAGAAACTCCATACTGTTTTCCATAGTGGCTGCTCCAATTTTTAATCCCACCAACAGTGCACGAAGGTTTCCTTTTCTCTACATTTTTGCCAACACTTGGTTGTTGATTTTTTGATGATGGCCATTCTGACAGGAATGAGGTGATATCTCATTGTAATTTTAATTTGCATTTCTCTGATGATTAGTGACATTGAGCATCTTTTCATATGTCTATTGCTCATATTTATCACATTATCTGCTTTTGAAAGCTTAATTCTAATTGTGGAATGAAAGACTTATATTAACTTGTATTAAGAAACTTTCTGGAATTCCTTCTGCAAAGTCTCAGTAGTGCTAAAGAGCAAAGAAATGGCTGAAGGTCAGGATGAAGACAGGAGGAGAATCCACAATTCCCTGTAGAACAAAAAAGATATCGCTTAGTATTAAGTTTGAGTTTTTAATTGAGGCTAGAATTCTTACTGATCCGCCTGATTTTATTTAGTTTTTGGATTCAATAATTTTATTCAATTTTTATTCAATTATTCAGTTTTTAAAATTCAATTATTATTTTTTCAATTATAGTTAGCATACAATAATATACCAGTTTCAGTTGTACAGCATAGTGATCAGAGATCCACATAACTCTCAAAGCAATCACCCCACTAAATCTAGTACACCTCTTCCCCTTTACGTATTTATTACAATATTAACCCTCTTCTCCATGCTACACTCTACATTTCCATGTCTATTCTGCAACTATCCATTTGTACCTCTTAATCCCTTTGCCTTTTTTTCGCCATCCCCCTCAACCCCTCTCCCATCTAGTAGCCCTCAAAATAGTCTCCGTATCTATAAGTTTATTTCTGCTTTTGTTGTGGTTGTTTATCTTATTTTGTTCTTTAGATTCCACAAGTATGTGAAATTGTGCGATATTTATCTTTCTCTATTTGACCCATTTCATTCAGTGCAATACTCTCTAGATCTATCAAGGCAATATCTTTTTCCATCCCCTTCCTTTTAGTCTGTATGTGTCTTTTAATCTGAAGTGAGTCTCTTGTAGGCAGCGTATGTAGGAGTCTTGTTTTCTTATCCATTTAGTCACTCTATCTTGGTTGGAACACTTAATTCTTTTCCATTTGAGGTACTTGTTGATAGGAATGTAGTTATTACCATTCTTTATTCCTCCAGCATTTCCTGTAATACTGTCTTGGTGTTGATAAATTCCTTTAGCTTATTTTTGTCTGGGAAGCTCTTCATCTGTCCTTCGATTCTAAATGATAGCTTTACTGCATAAAATATTCTTGGTTATAGATCCTGGGTTTTCATTATGTTGAATATTTTGTTCCAAGCCCTTTTGTCCTGAATAATTTCTTTTGAGAAATCAGCTGCCAGTGTTATGGGTGCTCCCTTGAAGGTAACTAACTGCT